TCGAAGCTCTACAGTTTTATCTTAAATTAATTAACACTTAATTTTAAAACAAAACTCCAAAAATTTTTTTTAAAGCTCAACTGTGACTTTTATAAGCCTAAAAGACATGAAAATATGTGCATTTTAGCTTCATGGTTCTTATTTTGGATTCACTGGAGTTTAAAAAAAAGCCTAAAAGCTTTAGCTTATTAGCTTAAAAATCAAGCTATCATTTCAGCTGCGATTGATTGAAGAGGTTCGGAAACGGCCCTACCTCTGGGATCCGTCCGACGAGCAATATGGGAATCAAACGGTGGAGATTTCTAATCAAATAACATAATAGATAAAGAAATTAGCTTTAGCTTTTAGCTATAAGCTTTATTATTTACTTTATATGAAACTTTTGAAGTGGAGATTTCTAATCAAATTAAATCAAATCAAATCAAAAAATTAGATAAATCGAAAAGCGTGGATGGATATTTGCAATGTGATGAACACCGTTTTTCATAATGATGATCCGATGCATCGTAAGGATTTTTTTAAATATTCAAATATTATTTAACTAATAAAAGAGGGGAGAAAAAATTATTATTTAACTAATTTTAAATATTAAATTATTATTTAACTAATAAAAGATATTCAATGAAACAATGAGTTTATCAATTCTTCGAAAGAAAAGAAAGTTTTTAGCCCAATTGGCACGGAAGAACTTCAAGAATTTACGCGATATGTTCAAGACAAGATGGCTTGAGTCTAAAATGGTAATTTGTTTTAGAAATAAAAAAGCTTATTGTATGTGAATAGTGTAATAATAGTTTAATAATAGTTTGATAATAGCTTAATAATAGTTTGATAATAGTTTGATAATAGTTTGATAATAGTTTGATAATAGTTTGATAATAGCTTAATAATAGTTTGATAATAGTTTGATAATAGTTTAATAATAGTTTGATAATAGTTTGATAATAGTTTAATAATAGCTTAATAATAGCTTAATAATAGTTTAATAATAGCTTAATAATAGTTTGATAGTAGTTTGATAATAGTTTGATAATAGTTTGATAATAGTCTAATAATAGCTTAATAATAGTTTCATAATAGTTTAATAATAGTTTAATAATAGATTGTTTATCAAATTATCAAATTATCAAATCGTTTATCAAATTTACCGATCATTGCTTTTAGGGAAAAACCTCAGCGCAACGCTGGGACTATTTCATTCCGATGAACTTTCTAGCGGATGTTTTCGAGAAAAATGAAGAGTGAGTTGCAATTGAACACTTAAAACTAGCGTAATCTCTGTAAAAGAAGACAATAATTCATTAGAGTATTCTTCGTCGGTAATAGACTAATGCATTTTAATACCGGGATTCAATACAGGAACTGTCCGTTTGTCCGTTCAGATCGGTTTGGTTAGATCGGTCGGCTTAGATCAATCTGCTTAGATCGGTCGGCTTAGATCAGTCCGCTTAAATCAGTCTGCTTAGATCAGTCAGCTTCGAAATAGTTAACAAAAAACTGATACTTTTATAAACAATTAGATCGGCTTAGATCGGTCGGTCGGCTTAGATCGGTCGGTCGGCTTAGATCGGTCGGTCGGCTTAGATCGGTCGGTCGGCTTAGATCGGTCGGTCGGCTTAGATCGGTCGGTCGGCTTAGATCGGTCGGTCGGCTTAGATCGGTCGGTCGGCTTAGATCGGTCGGTCGGCTTAGATCGGTCGGTCGGCTAGATCGGTCGGTCGGCTTAGATCGGTCGGTCGGCTTAGATCGGTCGGTCGGCTTAGATCGGTCGGTCGGCTTAGATCGGTCGGTCGGCTTAGATCGGTCGGTCGGCTTAGATCGGTCGGTCGGCTTAGATCGGTCGGTCGGCTTAGATCGGTCGGTCGGCTTAGATCGGTCGGTCGGCTTAGATCGGTCGGTCGGCTTAGATCGGTCGGTCGGCTTAGATCGGTCGGTCGGCTTAGATCGGTCGGTCGGCTTAGATCGGTCGGTCGGCTTAGATCGGTCGGTCGGCTTAGATCGGTCGGTCGGCTTAGATCGGTCGGTCGGCTTAGATCGGTCGGTCGGCTTAGATCGGTCGGTCGGCTTAGATCGGTCGGTCGGCTTAGATCGGTCGGTCGGCTTAGATCGGTCGGTCGGCTTAGATCTATGATAATAATTGATTATAAGAGTTCTATAAACTTTAAGAATTACCTTTAGTAACCTTGATATGACAACTTTCCTTAACGAACAACTTTTGAATGGAACCGAAGATGATGGCACAAATCCATCAAATGAGGAAATCGATTTGGCGAGCTTGCTTTTTAAAAGGGTTTGTTTACAAGAGTTTTACAACAGTTTTATCTTTAAAAATTGAATTAAGAAATGTTTTAGAATGACGATAAAGACGATTTAACGGTTTTCGACTATTCAAACGATGGAGATGAATTCGATGCTATCAAACGAATCTCAGAGCAATTCAATTCACCATCTACGTCGACTGGTATTAAAATCAGAATGAAATAAACAAAAAGATCTGGCTTTAGTCGCTCCTCTAAATAAACGAGCCAGAATTGATAATCGATTCGATTTTGGTGAAAAGCTTTCCAAAACACCGATAATCACTCAACAACAAGGGATCACCAATGTGCTCAAAAAAGTGATGAATGAAAGTGAGTTGAAATCATGATAAGCTTAAAAAATTAAAGATCTTTATGTATTTTAAATATATTGTGACTTAAAGTTATTTTTACTTAATCGAATAGAGAAAAGAAGCGGTTGTAGCGTAGCGTATTGTTGTAGCGTAGCGTTGCGTTGTTGTAGCGTTGCAGCAATCGTGGCTATTCTCAAATAGATATTATCTTAGACAGAGTTATTTATAGAACCAATTTTCCAGGTAAAGTCGGTAATAGATTAATGCATTCTATACAGGAACTGTCCGTTAGTCCGTTCAGAGCAGTCTGCTTAGATCAGTCAGCTCAGATGTCAATTCTTGACTTTAGACTTTGCTTGGCTTGAGTTGAAAGCCAAAGAAAGTCCAAGTTACTTAATAACGAGTTAGCGTTTTTTTTTTAAAACGTAGCAACTTTCAAAACCTTTCCTAATCTGCCAAGCTATAATAAAGTAATTTTTAGAGTAAATAATGAAAGGCTTCTAAACCAGATAAATCTAAATCTGATCTAAATCTGACAAGGCATTTAGACAAGGCATCTCCGGCATTATGGAGCTTTGTGTGCTTACAATACAAGTGTGCTTACTTAATCTTTCACTGGCATTTTCCGAGAGAACATTTTGGGGTCGCGCACTAAAATGCGCTAAATGCCGTAATCCGTTTTTTTGCGCAAAATCATCGCACTCTAAATCTGATCTGCATCTGATCTGCATATACCGTATTTACTCTATTAGTGGGGTCCTCTCTAATAGTGGGGTCCTCTCTAATAGTGGGGTCGTCTGGAGGGGGGTTGAAAAAATAGTGGGGTCCTCTCTAATATTGGTAACGAAAGTGATACATCAATTGTTGATCTCTTGGATTAGTTCTTTTACTGTTTGTTAATGTTTTGTTACGGTTAAAGCTAAATAAAATATGAAGCCAAACTTGTTTTTTCAAGAATTTCGGAGAAAAATTGATATCTTTTCAACTTAAAACTTTGGTTTTATGTTCTTTTAAATTTCTCTAATAGTGGGGTCCTCTCTAATAGTGGGGTCGTCTGGAAGGGGATTGAAAAAATAGTGGGGGACCCCACTAATAGAGTAAATACGGTATTCTGAAGCACTTATATATATAGTTAGAATGAATAGAAGGTAATTAGGGGTAACTAAGGCTAAAAAAAATAAATTTCCTCCGTTTGTTTTGTAATTCGTTATTCGTGTCGAAGAAATATCCTTTTAAAGTGAGACTATCCTTTAAATATCCTTTTAAAGTGAGACTATTGCAGGTATTCCCGAACCATCACCGATTCTCCCGCCCGTCATCGCTTTCATTTCAAATAAATATCTCGAATTTCAGCGAAAATCCCCATCTTTAGCTGATCGTTTCGAAAATGAGCTTTTAAATGTTGTAATCTCTTTTAACTCTAAAACATAAATCAATTTGAAATCAGAAAATATCACTTTTTTTAAGGCTCAACTTTACACAATACTAGTTGTGATATCAAGCATTTTTTATTGAATTGTGTAGATAAAAATTTGAATAAATAAAAACGCTGTAAGTAAAAAGTTGAAACAGGAACTTCTTTCGGTCAATGATTCAGTTTTTTTTCAGCTTTCAATAAAAAGTTTCCTTTTTGATAAGGGAATTAGCGATTCAGTTCTTCTTTCTTTCGAAAAATCTTTGAAATTCAATATTGATATGTATTTTTTACACATTTTCTCGATATTTCTATTGGTGATTGTTTCTGGGAAACGTTTTGAATTGGGTGGTCCGTCAAGAGCTGAAAGAAAATCCTACTTTCTATCGAAGCTCGAGGAAAAAGATGCGCCAGCTGTGGGACCGTTTGTGCGCGGACTTTCGATGGGAACTCGTAAGGGAAATTTTACACATTTGGAAGTTGATTAAACTTCTGAATTGTTTATTAAACTAATTGCAAGTTATTTGGAAAATAAGTAGACACAAAATAGAAAAATTAGCTTAGAAACAAAACGCAATGCGCTCCTGGTTTTGTAGAGAAATACAGGGAAATTTGAGGCAAAAAATTGCTGCGAAAAATTCGGGCATTTGGGCATTCGGGCATTTGGGTATTTGGGCATTTGACATTTGGCATTTGGACACTTGGGCACTTGGGCATTCGGGCATTTGGCAAAAAACCGCTCAGTCGCTAAGCGCTCCTTCTCTTTAGCGAGTCCGAAAGGGAACACCTATCTATCGGGGACTTGTGCCAGACGGTGAGCGATTACTTGGCCGCACAAAGAACAACTCGACAGTCATTTACATAGATTCCTCTTTTGCCTTGTAGATGGTATAAAAAGAAGAGATTCAGCTGGAAATTTGTACTCATGGGTTTTCAGGGACGAGGAATCGATTAGAGCTATTCATTTTATTGAGTCTACCAATTGGAACTTGAATTTAATTGATCTAAACTCTTTCTCAAGTGTGAAATTCCTTCCAAAAGACAAAAGCAGCTTATTAGTTACAGAAAAGGCTCGTTACCCATGTCTACATCACTTTTCAAACAAAACAATTCAAACAATTCTTGAATTACTTTTGAATTCAGCATATCAACAACTCGAAAAGATCACAATCACGACAACGAGCGCCGATTTGCTGATTTTCAGTAGCAATTTCACGAAACCGAGTTGGACTTTTGATGAGAAGTGACTAGAAAACAAGCTTATTATATCAAAAATTCATTTCCAGAGCTTCAGACACTTTTCAATTCATGAATGCCACCTATTCGAATAGTACAGACACGATAAACGGCCAGAGTCAGCGATTGAATGGCCGTGTTTGCATGGAGTCTTTTCAATTCTCACACGAAATTTCTTTACTTGGTACATGTTGTAAATCCTTTGAAATCCCTCATTTTTTTAGAGGATTATATTGTATACTTTGCTTTGATCGACTCAGCTGAGAATGAAACGAGTGAATACCCGGGACAAGGCATCTCCGGCATTATGGGGCTAGGTTTCGCGACACAAGTGTGCTTGCTTAATCTTTCACTGGCATTTTCGAGAGAACATTTTGGGGTCGCGCACTAAAATGCACTAAATACCGTAACCCGTTTTTTCGTGCAAAATCGGGGGTGGGACAAATGCGACCTTTTTTTGCGCACCTGGACATTTGCGCACCTTTTTTTTGCTAGAAAAGGCCTTAGGCAAGGCCGTAGGCGTTAGGCGTTAGGCAAGGCTACGGCCTTGCCTAAGGCCTTTTCTAGCAAAAAAAGGTGCGCAAAATGTCCAGGTGCGCAAAAAAGGTCGCATTTGTCCCACCCCGATTTTGCACGAAAAACGGGTTACGGTATTTAGTGCATTTTAGTGCGCGACCCCAAAATGTTCTCTCGAAAAATGCCAGTGAAAGATTAAGCAAGCACACTTGTGTCGCGAAACCTAGCCCCATAATGCCGGAGATGCCTTGTCCCGGGTATTCACTCGTTTCATTCTCAGCTGAGTCGATCAAAGCAAAGTATACAATATAATCCTCTAAAAAAAATGAGGATTTCAAAGGATTTACAACATGTACCAAGTAAAGAAATTTCGTGTGAGAATTGAAAAGACTCCATGCAAACACGGCCATTCAATCGCTGACTCTGGCCGTTTATCGTGTCTGTACTATTCGAATAGGTGGCATTCATGAATTGAAAAGTGTCTGAAGCTCTGGAAATGAATTTTTGATATAATAAGCTTGTTTTCTAGTCACTTCTCATCAAAAGTCCAACTCGGTTTCGTGAAATTGCTACTGAAAATCAGCAAATCAGCACTCGTTGTCGTGATTGTGATCTTTTCGAGTTGTTGATATGCTGAATTCAAAAGTAATTCAAGAATTGTTTGAATTGTTTGAATTGTTTTGTTTGAAAAGTGATGTAGACATGGGTAACGAGCCTTTTCTGTAACTAATAAGCTGCTTTTGTCTTTTGGAAGGAATTTCACACTTGAGAAAGAGTTTAGATCAATTAAATTCAAGTTCCAATTGGTAGACTCAATAAAATGAATAGCTCTAATCGATTCCTCGTCCCTGAAAACCCATGAGTACAAATTTCCAGCTGAATCTCTTCTTTTTATACCATCTACAAGGCAAAAGAGGAATCTATGTAAATGACTGTCGAGTTGTTCTTTGTGCGGCCAAGTAATCGCTCACCGTCTGGCACAAGTCCCCGATAGATAGGTGTTCCCTTTCGGACTCGCTAAAGAGAAGGAGCGCTTAGCGACTGAGCGGTTTTTTGCCAAATGCCCGAATGCCCAAGTGCCCAAGTGTCCAAATGCCAAATGTCAAATGCCCAAATACCCAAATGCCCAAATGCCCAAATACCCGAGTGCCCAAATGCCCAAATGCCCGAATGCCCGAATTTTTCGCAGCAATTTTTGCCTCAAATTTCCCTGTATTTCTCTACAAAACCAGGAGCACATTGCGTTTTGTTTCTAAGCTAATTTTTCTATTTTGTGTCTACTTATTTTCCAAATAACTTGCAATTAGTTTAATAAACAATTCAGAAACAATTCAGAAGTTTAATCAACTTCCAAATGTGTAAAATTTCCCTTACGAGTTCCCATCGAAAGTCCGCGCACAAACGGTCCCACAGCTGGCGCATCTTTTTCCTCGAGCTTCGATAGAAAGTAGGATTTTCTTTCAGCTCTTGACGGACCACCCAATTCAAAACGTTTCCCAGAAACAATCACCAATAGAAATATCGAGAAAATGTGTGAAAAATATGTGAAAAAATACATATCAATATTGAATTTCAAAGATTTTTCGAAAGAAAGAAGAACTGAATCGCTAATTCCCTTATCAAAAAGGAAACTTTTTTATTGAAAGCTGAAAAAAAAACTGAATCATTGACCGAAAGAAGTTCCTGTTTCAACTTTTTACTTACAGCGTTTTTATTTATTCAAATTTTTATCTACACAATTCAATAAAAAATGCTTGATATCACAACTAGTATTGTGTAAAGTTGAGCCTTAAAAAAAGTGATATTTTCTGATTTCAAATTGATTTATGTTTTAGAGTTAAAAGAGATTACAACATTTAAAAGCTCATTTTCGAAACGATCAGCTAAAGATGGGGATTTTCGCTGAAATTCGAGATATTTATTTGAAATGAAAGCGATGACGGGCGGGAGAATCGGTGATGGTTCGGGAATACCTGCAATAGTCTCACTTTAAAAGGATATTTAAAAGGATAGTCTCACTTTAAAAGGATATTTCTTCGACACGAATAACGAATTACAAAACAAACGGAGGAAATTTATTTTTTTTAGCCTTAGTTACCCCTAATTACCTTCTATTCATTCTAACTATATATATAAGTGCTTCAGAATACCGTATTTACTCTATTAGTGGGGTCCCCCACTATTTTTTCAATCCCCTTCCAGACGACCCCACTATTAGAGAGGACCCCACTATTAGAGAAATTTAAAAGAACATAAAACCAAAGTTTTAAGTTGAAAAGATATCAATTTTTCTCCGAAATTCTTGAAAAAACAAGTTTGGCTTCATATTTTATTTAGCTTTAACCGTAACAAAACATTAACAAACAGTAAAAGAACTAATCCAAGAGATCAACAATTGATGTATCACTTTCGTTACCAATATTAGAGAGGACCCCACTATTTTTTCAACCCCCCTCCAGACGACCCCACTATTAGAGAGGACCCCACTATTAGAGTAAATACGGTATATGCAGATCAGATGCAGATCAGATTTAGAGTGCGATGATTTTGCGCAAAAAAACGGATTACGGCATTTAGCGCATTTTAGTGCGCGACCCAAAAATGTTCTCTCGGAAAATGCCAGTGAAAGATTAAGTAAGCACACTTGTATTGTAAGCACACAAAGCTCCATAATGCCGGAGATGCCTTGTCTAAATGCCTTGTCAGATTTAGATCAGATTTAGATTTATCTGGTTTAGAAGCCTTTCATTATTTACTCTAAAAATGACTTTATTATAGCTTGGCAGATTAGGAAAGGTTTTGAAAGTTGCTACGTTTTAAAAAAAAACGCTAACTCGTTATTAAGTAACTTGGACTTTCTTTGGCTTTCAACTCAAGCCAAGCAAAGTCTAAAGTCAAGAATTGACATCTGAGCTGACTGATCTAAGCAGACTGCTCTGAACGGACTAACGGACAGTTCCTGTATAGAATGCATTAATCTATTACCGACTTTACCTGGAAAATTGGTTCTATAAATAACTCTGTCTAAGATAATATCTATTTGAGAATAGCCACGATTGCTGCAACGCTACAACAACGCAACGCTACGCTACAACAACGCAACGCTACGCTACGCTACAACAACGCAACGCAACGCTACGCTACAACCGCTTCTTGTCTCTATTCCATTAAGCGAAAATAACTTTAAGTCACAATATATTTAAAATACATAAAGATCTTTCATTTTTTAAGCTTATCATGATTTCAACTCACTTTCATTCATCACTTTTTTGAGCACATTGGTGATCCCTTGTTGTTGAGTGATTATCGGTGTTTTGGAAAGCTTTTCACCAAAATCGAATCGATTATCAATTCTGGCTCGTTTATTTAGAGGAGCGACTAAAGCCAGATCTTTTTGTTTATTTCATTCTGATTTTAATACCAGTCGACGTAGATGGTGAATTGAATTGCTCTGAGATTCGTTTGATAGCATCGAATTCATCTCCATCGTTTGAATAGTCGAAAACCGTTAAATCGTCTTTATCGTCATTCTAAAACATTTCTTAATTCAATTTTTAAAGATAAAACTGTTGTAAAACTCTTGTAAACAAACCCTTTTAAAAAGCAAGCTCGCCAAATCGATTTCCTCATTTGATGGATTTGTGCCATCATCTTCGGTTCCATTCAAAAGTTGTTCGTTAAGGAAAGTTGTCATATCAAGGTTACTAAAGGTAATTCTTAAAGTTTATAGAACTCTTATAATCAATTATTATCATAAATCTAAGCCGACCGACCGATCTAAGCCGACCGACCGATCTAAGCCGACCGACCGATCTAAGCCGACCGACCGATCTAAGCCGACCGACCGATCTAAGCCGACCGACCGATCTAAGCCGACCGACCGATCTAAGCCGACCGACCGATCTAAGCCGACCGACCGATCTAAGCCGACCGACCGATCTAAGCCGACCGACCGATCTAAGCCGACCGACCGATCTAAGCCGACCGACCGATCTAAGCCGACCGACCGATCTAAGCCGACCGACCGATCTAAGCCGACCGACCGATCTAAGCCGACCGACCGATCTAAGCCGACCGACCGATCTAAGCCGACCGACCGATCTAAGCCGACCGACCGATCTAAGCAGACCGACCGATCTAAGCAGACCGACCGATCTAAGCAGACCGACCGATCTAAGCAGACCGACCGATCTAAGCAGACCGACCGATCTAAGCAGACCGACCGATCTAAGCAGACCGACCGATCTAAGCAGACCGACCGATCTAAGCAGACCGACCGATCTAAGCAGAACCGATCTACGCAGAGACCGACCGATCTAAGCAGACCGACCGATCTAAGCAGACCGACCGATCTAAGCAGACCGACCGATCTAAGCAGACCGACCGATCTAAGCAGACCGACCGATCTAAGCAGACCGATCTGAACGGACAAACGGACAGCTCCTGTATTGAATCCCGGTATTAAAATGCATTAGTCTATTACCGACGAAGAATACTCTAATGAATTATTGTCTTCTTTTACAGAGATTACGCTAGTTTTAAGTGTTCAATTGCAACTCACTCTTCATTTTTCTCGAAAACATCCGCTAGAAAGTTCATCGGAATGAAATAGTCCCAGCGTTGCGCTGAGGTTTTTCCCTAAAAGCAATGATCGGTAAATTTGATAAACGATTTGATAATTTGATAATTTGATAAACAATCTATTATTAAACTATTATTAAACTATTATGAAACTATTATTAAGCTATTATTAGACTATTATCAAACTATTATCAAACTATTATCAAACTACTATCAAACTATTATTAAGCTATTATTAAACTATTATTAAGCTATTATTAAGCTATTATTAAACTATTATCAAACTATTATCAAACTATTATCAAACTATTCTCATACAATAAGCTTTTTTATTTCTAAAACAAATTACCATTTTAGACTCAAGCCATCTTGTCTTGAACATATCGCGTAAATTCTTGAAGTTCTTCCGTGCCAATTGGGCTAAAAACTTTCTTTTCTTTCGAAGAATTGATAAACTCATTGTTTCATTGAATATCTTTTATTAGTTAAATAATAATTTAATATTTAAAATTAGTTAAATAATAATTTTTTCTCCCCTCTTTTATTAGTTAAATAATATTTGAATATTTAAATATTTAAAAAAATCCTTACGATGCATCGGATCATCATTATGAAAAACGGTGTTCATCACATTGCAAATATCCATCCACGCTTTTCGATTTATCTAATTTTTTGATTTGATTTGATTTAATTTGATTAGAAATCTCCACTTCAAAAGTTTCATATAAAGTAAATAATAAAGCTTATAGCTAAAAGCTAAAGCTAATTTCTTTATCTATTATGTTATTTGATTAGAAATCTCCACCGTTTGATTCCCATATTGCTCGTCGGACGGATCCCAGAGGTAGGGCCGTTTCCGAACCTCTTCAATCAATCGCAGCTGAAATGATAGCTTGATTTTTAAGCTAATAAGCTAAAGCTTTTAGGCTTTTTTTTAAACTCCAGTGAATCCAAAATAAGAACCATGAAGCTAAAATGCACATATTTTCATGTCTTTTAGGCTTATAAAAGTCACAGTTGAGCTTTAAAAAAAATTTTTGGAGTTTTGTTTTAAAATTAAGTGTTAATTAATTTAAACCATTAAAAATAAAGAGAAAATTTGAAAGATAGAAATCATTTTTCGCTTAAAGAGATCAATTTCCTACACTTTCATAGAAAATAGAAACCATTTTAGGCAATACTTTGATACCAATAAACAGTCTAAAAGTTAGAGTCTAGTTTAGCATAGAATTGCCTAGAATAGAAGCATAGAATAGAAGTTAAAGTTGTGTTTAAAAGCGCATTTTGAATTATTTGAATGTTTATAAGCACACTTTGAATCATTTGAAAGGTTATAAGCACCCTTTGAATCATTTGAATGTTTAAAAGCACACTTTGAATTATTTAAATGTTTACAAGCACACTTTAAATCATTTGAATGTTTAAAAGCACACTTTCATGATTTGAATGTTTATAAGCACACATTAAATCATTTGAATGTTTAAAAGCACACTTTAAATCATTTGAATGTTTTTAATCGCTTACAACTCGCTCACGAACCTTGAAACCCCTGGAGTAAACTCGTTTCGGCTTTTGTGGCTCTTCATTTGCATCAAACCATAAGGAATGTTTCGCCGAAAGCATTATTAGAAAAAAGCGAATACAAAGTTAAAATCGAAATCAAAATCCGAATACCAGTTTTGTGGTGGTGAAAATCGATCGAATTCTCTGCAAAAGAGCGACGAGGCAAGGCGCTCTTTGCTTGACGGGGCGGGCTTAGGCTTAGACGGGGAAAAGGGGCAAAGAAAAGGACGGCTCTGTGAAGGCACACACAGCCACTCAGCCCCGTTTACCCCGTTTTCGCTCATCGTCTGAATATCTTCACTTTTCCCTATCTCTTTCCCCACTTAGTGGGTCCGGAGATTAAGCGCACTCGGCTCTCTCAGCCACAACCAGCCCATAGCAACTAGGGCAGTTTCTCTTCACAGAATACAAAGTCTTCACGAAAAATCTGCACATAAATCTTTTAGTTTCAAATAGTTTCAAACAAGATTTAAACCTAGTGCAAAAGAAGAAAAGAAGCAAAGAAGAGCTTTAGAGATATTGTAGCTTTAGAGATATTGTAGCTTTAGAGATACCATAGCTTTAGAGATATTGTAGCTTTAGAGATATTGTAGTTTTAGAGGTACCATAGCTTTAGATACCATAGCTTTAGAAATACCATAGCTTTAGAGATATTGTAGCTTTAGAGATACCATAGCTTTAGATACCGTAGCTTTAGATACCGTAGCTTTAGAGATACCATAGCTTTAGAGATATTGTAGCTTTAGAGATACCATAGCTTTAGATACCGTAGCTTTAGATACCGTAGCTTTAGAGATACCATAGCTTTAGAGATATTGTAGCTTTAGAGATATTGTAGCTTTAGAGATACCAAAAGAAGAGATACTCTCTAATAGTAGTGCGCAATATTATTTCCTTTCAACCGCCTCCCAAACCGCAATACTATTAGAGAGTTTTGGTACTTTTTCACTGACGAATCACCTTTTTTAAACTCTAGTGAATCCAAAATAAGAACCATGAAGCTAAAATGCACATATTTCCATGTCTTTTAGGCTTATAAAAGTCACAGTTGAGCTTTAAAAAAAACGGTTTTGTTTTGTAATTTCCTTTCAACCGCCTCCCAAACCGCAATACTATTAGAGAGTTTTGGTACTTTTTCACTGACGAAACCATAAAGTAAAGGCTTTACCATATCACCTTTACTTTATGGTTCGAGATGAGCAAACTTTTTACTAACTTTAAGATAACTTTTTGCAATAATTCTGATTTCAAATAATATGAAATCTTTTGTAAACTAGAGTATAATGATTGGTTAGAACACTTTCGAGAAGTTTAGAATCTCTTTTGAAACTTTACTTTGCCAGCTTTAGCCTTTTTCTTTACTCACAAGTTGTAGATTCCTGATGAGCTAAGTTTAAGCTAAAACTTTTATGATCTTTTGGAAAGTGTTTTTAATTGGTTCAGTGAGCTCGATTATGTCAGAGAAAAGTGAAGAGGAAAAGGGTTAAAACAATAAACGGTTAACCAAAAGCTAGTTAGTCCTCTAATAGTATTGCAGTCTGGGAGGGGGTTGAAAAAAGATAATAATGCGCCGCACTACTATTAGAGAGAATACAGTATCTCTTCTTTCGGTATCTCTAAAGCTATTCAATGAAGATGTAACTATAAGTTTAGCTTAAACCTGAACTACCGTCTTCTCTCTATTACTAAATCCTAGTTCATATAAAATCATGTAGAACTTGTAGAACTTGTAGAGCTTCTAGAGCTTCTAGAGCTTCTAGAGCTTCTAGAACTTGTAGAACTTGTAGAGCTTCTAGAGCTTCTAGAGCTTCTAGAATTTGTAGAACTTGTAGAGCTTCTAGAGCTTCTAGAACTTGTAGAACTTGTCGAACAAAATCAAAATCCTGTGAGTGTTCAGTTCAGTGATTTTTCTGCAAGAGATTTTAGAACTGAAGACTGAACTCCCATCTTCGGAGCAAGAGATGTAAGAGAAATTCAATAATTCGATTGCTATAAATGTACCAAATCCCTTCCATTTTATTGGCAAGAAAGCAAATTACATAAACTCAGGGAAATATTGGAAAAACAAAACCCGTATCAACAAAAATTATGCATTAAAGTTCACTGGAGCCGCGAGAACACTTTTAGAGTTGTACTTGATGATCAATTGGAGAAGCTCGTTCTCGAATTCACTCGCTAACGCTTTCGATTGATCGATGAAAGTGAAATACTTCTCACGAATCATTTGCAAGACCGCTGGATCTCGTCGGGCTGGCAAATCGATCGAATTTTCTAAAACTCAAGCTCAAGCAAAAGAAAAGCTTTTCTTTATAGTGATTTAAAAAGTAAAAGTTCTAGCTCTGAGCTTCTGTTGAGCTTTCAACTTCAGTTGAGCTTTCAGCTTCAGTTTTTGAGTTGATCTTACCTAGATTCTCCTCTGACGGTGAGATGTCACTAGTTCGAGATCGTTTCTTTGCAAGAAAGCTTGATTGATGATGCGAATGAAGTAATAGAGGCTTCACCTAGTAAATCAAAGTAAAGCTTGTATCAAAAAAGGATTACTTCTTTTGTCGAATAACAGCTTGTAGTCAATGTGAGTGATGAAGTATCTGTGGATTCTTCTAAACGATGTTATGATCTAATCAAAGAAATTTAGCGGTAAATTTGTGTTAGGTTTTGAGTTGGAAAGAGGATAAAGCAAAAAGCAAAACTAGACCGGGCAAGCTTTGTTTCTAACTTCATCTGTTGGTGAGGGAAATTTTGGCAAAAATTTGGGCATAATCACGGTAAAACAGGCTCAGTCGCTAGCTATTCCTTTCCTTTACCGAGTCAAAAAGGGAACATCTATCTATCGGGAACTTGTGCCAAACGGTGAGCGATTACTAGGCCACACAAAGAACACCTCGACAGTCATTTACAGGGATTTCTCTTTTAGTTCGTAGATGGTATAAAAAGAAGAGATTCAGCTTTGAATTTGTACTCATGGGTTTTCAGGGATGAGGAATCGATTGGAGCTATTCATTTTATTGGATATTCAAGCAAAAACAAGCAACTATTGAGTCAACCAATCCTAATTCGGTCCCCTTTTTTAACTTTAGGCACAAATCATTTGTCCACAAGTTCCCGGTACCTACAGGATGCAGATGCGGATGCTTATCGATAAATTAAAAGAAGAAAAGGAAGAGAATACTCCGAGTGTTATATAAGCTGCTGTATATTCATTTGAAGAATGAATATACAGCAGCTTGTGTGAATCTTGGAAAAATTTAACGATCTGAACGTGACACTTTTGAAAAAGATGATCTGATTAAAGATGATCTGATTAAAGATGATCTGATTAAAGATGATCTGATTAAAGATGATCTGTTTAAAGATGATCTGTTTAAAGATGATCTGATTAACCCATTCGAAACCGCAGCGTTTTTTCTTTTTTTTCGTCTACGGACCAAGCCTTTTTTTGACATTTTTGACTCCGAAGCAGTTTATTTATGGTTGGAAAGATGTAAGAGAGTCTCCTACACCATTTATTTTTGATGAAGATTTGACTTCAGTACTTTTCAAGATCCTATCGATTATTGTTCTTATTTTATCGACGACAATATTTTAGTAGGTGAATCTAATAAACATGGAAAAAGGATAACAAACTGGCAGGATTTCGATGCAAAATCTTTTAAGCTTTTCCTGGCTTCAAATGGGAATCGTCAAAATACCGAGGATTCGTGACTACTGGAATAGCAGGCCTGGATTAGGAGGATTTTCCCACATGTCCCACATTATCATCTTTAATCAGATCATCTTTAACCCATTCGAAACTTCTGCAGCGAATAATCGCTGCAACATAAACTCAGGAACGGACCGCTGATTAAAGATGATCTGATTAAAGATGATCTGATTAAAGATGATCTGATTAAAGATGATCTGTTTAAAGATGAGGTGAAAGATGAGCATCTTTAAACAGATCCTTAAATTTAAAGTGTAACATAACAATCTAACAATCATAACTTTAAACAAGAATTTCTTTTCGATCAATTTCTTTACCTCGATTCTCCGATGCACATGGGGATATTTGTGTGTTTTCCCGTGTCATTTCTTCAGTCGAATAATCGATTGGTAAATTGCCCAAAAATCTTTCCAGATTTGACGCTTCATAACCATTATTCTCCACATTTTCACGTAAATGTTTTTGAGATCTAAACGCTTTGAATTAGCTTTCTAAATAGCTTTTGTATTAGCCTTCTAAGTCGCTTTTGAATTAGCTTTCTAAATAGCTTTGTATTAGCTTTCTAAGTCGCTTTTGAATTAGCCTACCTCTTGATTTGTGCTACTGTTTGAGTAACACTCTCTGAGTGACACAAAGGATCCACTTCTCCGAGTGATTCAAACGAGTCTCTGTAAATGCATTTGATTTTTGTTTTGCTTTAATTCTTCAATCAAATTTTACAGTACCTCTCTTGTTCGTTCAACTCATCATTCATAAATTGTATTGACTCAAAGAACTCCCATCTTCGGAGCATTTCTAATGGAGGAGTCTCGTTTTCAAAGTACTAAACACATCCGATTACAGTGATTCTCTTTTCTAAAACTTGTTGAAAACTACCGTAATTTTTTGTAAAAGTAATTTACTATGTTCATAACGATTTTTTAAATGTTTTAAAGTCAGTCAGGCTTTAAAAAATATCGTAATTTTGTTTCTAGCTTTTATCCAATCTAACGCGACTCTCTTAATGCTTAATCCAATCTAACGCGTCTCTCTTAATGCTTAATCCAATCTAACGCGTGTCTCTTAATGCTTAATCCAATCTAACGCGTTATTCTTAATACTTAATCCAATCTAACGCGTCTCTATTAATGTTTAATCCAATCTAACGCGTCTCTCTTAATGCTTAATCCAATCTAACGCCTTTTTATTAATGCTTATGAGAACGCGCAATCAAACTTTTTTTGACTGTTTTTTCTGTTTTTCTTGTCAATTAAGTTTTTTGCAACATCTTATTTACTTTTATTTTTTTAATTTCATAATGACGAAGAAATCAGAGCACAGGTAGAGCACAGGGATTCGATCAACTTCCAGGGAATGAGACAGAAAAGGAACCATCGATTGATGGTGGCTAAGTCTGTTGTTTCAAAGACAATTCAACGTTACAAAGCCTTTTGAAAGAATTCCAATCGATCAGTGACAATGACGGTGACAGTGACAACAAAGAAGACAATGAAGAAAGTGCGCGAAAGGCTACTCATTTCGCCGCAACTCATTTGACCGCACAATCGTGACATACGTGCGTCTAATGGCAGGTGACTTTATCTATCGAAAAGTTGAGAAAAGTTGAGTTCTAACGTTTCCGATTTCTCAATCTAGATGGGAGAGAGTCCAATCCGAAGAGTTTCCCTCATTTTGAGCATTGCACGCTGTTCAGGAAAACGTAGGCGAGAATTTATGTAAAAAGTACCTATATGCGGCAAAATGAGAGTGCGGCGAAATGATTGGCAATGATGGATTTTCTAAAAGTATCTTTTGAGAGATTCAGACAAGCTCTGGTTTTCGAGATTTTATGGTGGAAAGAAGTTGAAGGAACGGTGAACGCTCGATAAAGCGATTTGAGCACTTTCTTTCACAGAAACTAAGTTTAACTAAGCTTTGGGAATAGATCTCAAATTAGGCTGTCCCGAAAGTCTTTTCGTTCCTTTTCGTACCTCCATTTAAAGCCAACAAATGCGCGATTTGAACTACGGTTTGTTTCATTACAAAGGGCAATTATTTTTTATTACAAAGGGCAACTAAAAATTAACCCCAAAAATGTTCTCAAAAACGTTTGATGGGATTGGATTTCAGTGTTTAGAGTATCCTAGAGTCTAGGCATGCTTTAAAGCTCATTCAACCATTTACGAGTTACGATAGTTATCAAAAAGTGCAAAAATCTCACCTTACAAAAATATCCTTAAAGTATTTCTTCAAAAAACCGACCTTTGCTCGTGCCTGTTTCCGTTGATGCTTCAGCTGATCTTTAAGATTTCTCCACAAATACACCAATTCACCAGCCAACTCTAGAAATTGATTTAATGAAAAAGAAAAGAAAAAGGAATTCCAAAAAGATTTCATAAACTTTATCATAAACTTTATCATAACTTTATCAAACCTTCAACTCTTGTCATCATGCCAAACTCGTCGCGCATCGTTTGCGCAATCGTCACCCACGCATCATTCATTGCTTGTTTTGACTAAAATCCCGTAATCTCTATCAATCTCTATCAAAATTTTATCAAACCTTAGACAGTGGATGTTTATTTTGATAGAGAAATGGGTAATCTTTCACAATTTCGAGCATTCGTTGCTTGAATTGGGGTAAATAGATGCGCTTTCGGCGAGATGAGATCGAATTGTTGTGAAGCATTTCGTCTAGAGACAACTCTTTTATTGTTTTATTGTTTTATTATTGTTTATTGTTGTTTATTCTTTTGTTTTGTCTTTTGTTTATTCAAAAGAATAAACAACAATAAAACAATAAAACAATAAAACTTTTGTTTTGTTGTTGTTGTTGTTGTTAAAACAATAAAATAATAAAATTCTTTTAAAAAAGTTGTCTAAAACCTAAAACTTGTTAATCTACAATAGTTACTTTTTAAATCTTTCTGGATTTCTTTAAGAACTAGATCAAAAGTCTAATAAACCAGCGGAAAACCAACCAACCACATTTTCAGAGTCCTGAAAATGTGGTTGGTTGGTTAGGCAAAAAACTTTAGGCCCTTAAAACTCCTTGCAGATTTTCATTTAGCAAAAACGGAATACATATTCGGAATCAGCATAAAATTCTGCGTTGAATGGTATAGGTTAGTGTAAGAAATATACACTACTGGACAATGAAATATGATATTTGAAAAAAGATCGTCACTTTCGCGCGTCTGTAACTCCCTTGTCTTTACCGTATTTCTAAATATTAATATTACCATTGTGTAGCCCTTGGAAAGAGCTTTCAAAAAAATGTATAACACTAATAGTTTAGACTCAAAGATAAGAGAATTACAGACGCGCGAAAGTGACGATCGTTTTTCAAATATCATATTTCATTGTCCAGTACTGTATGTTTATGCTTTGATCTATATAATTTCTTGTGAGACCGTGTCTCACAAGAAATTGTGGTGTGGTTCAATAGTGGTTGTCTTGAAAGCGCACATTTTATCAAATTTTCCCTTATTAGGGCAAACTTCGCTTAAACTGGAGCAAACTGGAGCAACTATCATAATTAATTCAACACTTGCATGTGAAAAAAAAAAGCGATGAAAGATAGCAAAAAGAAAGAGAACCAAAAGCAAAGCTTAAATGACGGGTTTTTTTTAAAGTATACAAGCTACAACAAACAGACAGCTGAATATCGTCTAGTGACTGATTACGGTAGTTTATCCATCAACTTTGAATTTTAACTTGTGTATTGAATTTTTGACTAACTGCAGAGCAATGGCAATTCGCCACAATTAGAGTGTGTTCCTGCCTTTTTGCGTAATCCGTAATGCATTTAGTAATGCGTTTTTTAAAACGCACACTTGGGAAAAAATTACCGTACTTTTAGCAAAAATTATTGCAAAAAAATGACGCAAAAATGACGAGCCCTGCATTATATACGACACTTTTTAAAAGATACTCAGCCGTTTAACTGATTTGGTGGGAAGAAACGTTCAACTGACTATCTAATGTAAAAATTGATTTTTTTGAAAAACTTGGGGTAGGCTAATTTCCGCAATTTTTTTGTGCGCAACTGGGTCATTTGCGCAACTCGCCATAACTTCCTTCGAAGTGGGTCAATCTTTATCATTTTGATGTCATTTTGTAGATCTCAATAAGTGTAATAAAATGAAACCAAAATCATTAAGATTGGACAAAGACAATCTAGACACTAGAAACACTAGAACTGTCACTAGAAACGTCCCGTAGTCTGTGCCATTTTATTCTGTTTTCATTTCATTTTATCTTCTGCCATTTGATTTGCGCAACTCGCCATAACTTCCTTCTAAGTCGACAAATCTTTATGATTTTGGTTTCATTTTGTTACACTTATTGAGATCTACAATATGAAACCAAAATCATAAAGATTAGCCCATAAAAATTAGAAGAAAGTTATGGTGAGTTGCGCAAATAACCCTGTTGCGCAAAAAAAATTGCGGAAATTAGCCTACCCCAAAACCTGCGCAAAAAATTGCTTTTATATTCTTTTCGCGCAGGCGCACTTTTTAGAAAACGCATTACTCGACACTGACTCGAGCTATTACTCATGCAAATTTACTCGAGTAATTACTTACTCGCGAGGAACACACTCTAGTATAGGTCGCATAGCCAGTTGACCTTTCGTAGTTTAGTAAAAGTCTTTTGCGACTACACGACTGTACGGGGGAGCGGGAGCTACTAATAGATGTATTACGGTAGTAGATTGGATAAAACTAGAAGAAAATAGTTTTCGAAAGTTTAAAACGGATAAATATATTTTAAAAAATGTATAAGTATAAAGAAAAGTTTTTATTAAAAAAGTTTCTATTATTTCTATTCTATTTCTATTTCTATTTCTATTATATTCTATTTCTATTAGGTTGATGCATAAGTGTTTTTGTTCCTTTTCGTCAGCAGTTTCAAGCCAACAAATGCACCAATTAAACAACGGTTGATTTCATTAGAAAAACCAATTATTTTTCTGCAAAATAACATTAAAACGGGTTTAAAAATATTTGATGCCTGGATTTTCTTGAGAGTATGAAGTCGGGTAGTCAAAAAGGGCTAACTCGATGATGCGGTTTAGGCTCAGGCTCAGGCTAAGCCTCAGCCTAAGCCTGAGCCTGAGCCTGAGCGGTTTAGATACCTTAGCTAAAGAAAACCTATCTTCGTGTCAATAGATAAAAGATAGAGAAAAAAAACGTTTGATATTTCGCCAAAATTTCAGAGAAATTCATTCAGCCGATTTTTCCGTAGAGTTTTTTTATAGATTTTTACGAAAAAGGCGTTTTTCACTCTCGAATTTGCTTGAAAGTGAACCGAAATTCATTTAAAAAGATACAAATTGAACAAAAAAACACTTTTTTTATAGAGCAAACTATAGATTAATTGGTGAATTTGTTACTTTTTAACAGAAGTACGAAAAAAACGAAAAGACTTATGCATCAACCTAATATTTCTATTTCTATTCTATTTCTATTTCTATTTCTATTTCTATTTCTATTCTATTCTATTTCTATTACATTACATTACATTAGTTTAAATAAAAAAAAAACAGCTGTTTTAATGTTTTAAAAACAGCGTTATTTAAAAAGCTTTTAAACAAAAAGAATGCATTTTTTGTAAAAAAACCGTTTTCATATGCTAATCGGTTATAAAAAAATTTGCTTTTAAAAGAAATTCTATTTTTTTAAAGTGCTCTAAAATAAAGCAAATATTAAAAAAAAACAAAAAGATTAAAAAAACCTTATTTAAGAAGCTTTTAAACAAAAAGAATACATTTTTTCAAAAAAAAAAGCCATTAAAAGCTATTTAGGCTATTGAAAAATTCAGAAATTAACGAAAATCAATAAAAATTTTGGAGAGATATTTGAGAATGTTACTGCTTTGGATAATGATTTTTCTTTTTGGGGGGAAACGCGTGAGTCCGACGCACATTGATCGACGGCGAGACACCGTGCCAAAAAGAAAACACTCTTCATCTCATTCGTCTCTCTCTTTTACACAATCTTTCACTCGAAAGGGTGAAGAACTCAGAAAATCGCGTCACCGTATTCCCACGCTCGGGAAATCGAATCAATTCACTGACCAGGCTTGAGCTATTGAGTTGCAGAACTTTAACATTTAGATAATGTATTTATTACCGTAAATATTGGAATAGTACCCCAGCTCCATAATGACGGTGCGGAGTGTTGCATAGTCTAGCTTTGAGCGTGTTTTTCTCGACACTGGTTTATGCTACAATGTTGCTTAGGTATCAAAAAATAGCTGAAATTCAGGGCTATTTTTTGATACCTAAGCGCGCATTGTAGCATAAACTAGTGTCGAGAAAAACTCGTTCAAAGCTAGACTATGCAACGCTCCGCACCGTCATTATGGGGCTCGGCTACTATTACAGTATTTACGGTATCTGGATTCAATATTCAATTCTAGTTTTAGACTGTCTAAACTAAGCTTTAATCCGATTCATTTCAAATTCTTTGCTGCAAGGATCAAAAGAAAAAGGCTACGATAAACTATTAAAACTTTACACAGTCAAACATCGAGATTCCTCAATTCTCAGTGTTCTATTCAATTCTAGTTTTTTACTGTCTTAGCCTAAAGCTTCAATACGATTCATTTCAAATTGCGACTCTTTGCTTTCCTCACCCAAATCGATGATCTCTTCTTTCCGCTTGTGTCCAATTCTTTCTCTTTTTGATATGTGGCTAGCATAAATTGATTGACTTTTTCCCGTTTCCCTTGAAAGAACTCCAGTGATTTCAACGATTTTTCGCGATTTTCTCTGAAAGTTTGAGATACTGACAATTCTATAACTCTACTATCTAGCAAAGACTTCTTTAAGCATCATGATCACGAGCAATAGTCCTTTTGATTAGATTGAAATCTTTAACTGAAATTATCCATTCTTTTAATAATTTAGAGATTCTAGGTTTTTTGTTCTAGATTCTAGATTCTAGACGGTCAAATTGGTGCTAGATAGAGAGCTTTTAGCTGATCTTCTAGCTGATCTTCTAGCTAAATATTACATCAAAATCTTATCACCTTCTACCGTAATCCTTTCCTATTCTACACTAGTTTCACTAACAAGATTCTATCTCTTGATAATCATCAAATATTTTGGTGTCTCCGGGATGCAAAGTAAAAAGAGCAATGAGAGCACTTCGGGGATGAGAGAGACGAGCAAAAGGCGCTCAAGCGATGAGCCAAGCACTTCAGGCATTCCTGTAATTGATACAATAGCTTAGCTATATAAATACTGTAATACTTAATTTATATTACCTAGAATACTCCCCAGCACACACATCGAACCATAGCCAATCTCAGGTAAAAACGAGAGCATTCCACGCAGCTCAACTGGAGCTGTTTCCTGAAAATTCTCTTTATTTTATAGTATTATCTTTTAGAAGATTGAATTATTATACAGTCGAACCTCTCTATAACGAACCTCGATATAACGTAAACCTCTCTATAACGTAAGGCGTGACCGGTCCCGGCCAAATGTAATACAAAATGTCTATAAAAAAACCTCGATATAACGTAACTCTGTATAACGTAAAACTCTATACAACGGAAAATTTTGCCTGAAAATATGCAATTTTTTGTTCCATATAACGGATTTTATGCTAA